ACACTAAAAATTACTCCTGTGTCTGAGATTCACCTGTAACTGGCCGTCCTGTGTTTTTATGGGAAACCGGGCCGCCCTGGAGCTGCTGGGCCCGGGAGGCGCGGCCGGCGTCGCGGAGGCCTGGGGAGTGGAGCCGGAACTGGGCTGCCCTGGCGGGGCGTGGGGGCCGGACGGTGACCTGCGTTCCCCTGGCTTCACACTGGTTCGGCCGGACTCCCATGATGTCGTTCTCCTGCTGAACTGTTCAGGGAGTAAAACACGATGCATTGGAGTTTTGCTTTTGTTTTTATATCACATTCTAGTGAACGAGTTGCTTGCTGGTCGTACGCTGATGGACCTGTGTGATAGGCCATTTATTGCATCTCTTTGGGAACAGCGTTTCTTGTTTTTGTTGTTGTTTGTTTGTTTTGGCGGGGAGGAGGCAATTACGTTAATTTATTTATTTATTTTCAGAGAAGGTACTGAGGATTGAACCCAGGACCTCAGGCGTGTTAAACATGCTCTCTAGGCTTGATGGTTAAGAGCACAGATGACAGATGGAATTTGGAGCAAGGGGTGCCTGAGTTCAGATTTTGGCTCCATCACTATCTGCTTAGAAAGGATCACTTTAGCTCCCACGGCCTCTTTTCTTTCTGTCTCAACCATAGTCACCTGGGAGGGCAGCCTGAGGATTGAGGGAGGTGAAGTGTGGGGAACATATGGATCCTATAAAAAGTGTTATGAAGGTTCAGAAGGGCGTGGGGCAGTCCTTGCCTGGAGTGCAGTGGACAGTTCTTGGAGCCCCCAAACCAGCCTGAGAACCAGCTCCACTTGCTTTTGAACCCTGCCTCTTCTCAAGGATTGGGCCGAAATGTAGAGTGACCTGGAGGGGTGCTAGTAGTCAACAGTTTCTTCAGATTACTTGTAAACAAATTTTTTTTCCCTTCCATCCAGGAAGATGTTACCAAGCACCACAGTGAATTCCCTAGCGCAGGGGAACGGAGCATTGAGTTCCAGGGATGCAGCCCGACACACAGCCGGAGCAAAGCGCTACAAGTACTTGCGGAGGCTTTTCCGTTTTCGGCAGATGGACTTTGAGTTTGCCGCCTGGCAGATGCTCTACCTGTTCACTTCCCCACAGAGAGTTTATAGAAATTTTCATTATCGAAAGCAGACAAAGGACCAGTGGGCCAGAGATGACCCTGCTTTCTTGGTCCTGTTAAGTATCTGGCTCTGTGGTAAGTGTTCGTGTATCTGCACTAGTGTTGAAGAACAGATAATGTGTTTCAGGTTGGACTTGTCATCTGGAGAATCTTACGTTGTCAGAGTATTGTGGGTCACAATTTGGGGATCTCTGAAGCTGTTACTTTCTTTCTGAAGCCTCAAAAATATCCTCACAGGAAAGAAGGCTGTGTTCTTCTTGGTTCTAAAGGTCCTGAGCAGATGCTAGAGTAAACTGTTTCCCTGGAACTTTAAAAAGCAGAGGGCAGACTTACTCCATGTCTTTTAACTACTAATGATAAATAAGTTGATATACCCCAGTGCAAACTTCCTGTGAAAAATTACTATCAAGATTGGAAACTGCATTTCACAATCAGGCCAGTCCAGAGTGAGAGTTCTGAAAGCACACATACGAGCTTGAGAAACTGCTTTAAGTTCTCCGGTAGTGTAGTGAAAGGGTCTGAACCACCCTGAGGGTGCTGGAGTGTGTCAGGATTTTTCTCACCTTCACTGGGACTTAAATAGATGAGTGCCTCTTCAGTACTAGTGGTTTTCCATATGCTGGGGCCATCCTAGTGAACCACAGACAGACAGGGCTGCCTCAGTAAACTTCAGCTATCTCAGTGGCTATTCTGTGTTCCAAGGTGGTCTGCATTTATTTATCAGTTTCACCTGATAATCTCTGGGGTTTGTTTTTTTTACATCCTTGTCTCCTGCACTAGACTGGGCATCTGAAAGGCAGAGCCTGCCCTGTATCCCCAGAAACTAGCAAAGTACCTGAACGCATCTTGTAAATCTTTCTTTCAGTGTCCACTATAGGATTTGGCTTCGTGCTGGACATGGGATTTTTTGAGACAATAAAGCTGCTCCTGTGGGTTGTATTCATAGATTGTGTAGGCGTCGGTCTTCTCATATCAACTTTAATGTGGTAAGTACCATGATTTTGGTTTTTCAGCTACTGCTTGCTGTAAAACCTCTGTTTGCTTGGTTCAGAGAGTACCTGATGGAAACTGAAACTAGATAGATGAACTGAAAGCATCGATTGTGGCTGCCGGGACTATCAGACCTTGTCCTCCTGGGCCAGCACCTGTGTCTGAAAATACTCTAAGGGGGTGGTCTGCTTTGTTGAAGTGCAGCAAATAAGTGAACTGAAATAATGATTCTGTCGTATTAACAAAAACCCTGATTTTGCAAAAATATCACGGTTCTGTTTTAGCTGTCTGGATGATGGTAGTTTTCTGTGTTTGTCAGTGGGTCACTTCTCCATGTGCAGGATGTGTAGATGGTCTTCTCATGGAATCTTACTGTGAACCTCTGACATTAAATGAAGTATGCTTGAAAAAGGACTTTTTTGGTTAAAATTTTGGTGCCTTCTGAGACACACGCAGGTTTTATTGACCGGTGTCTCGGCCTGACTTTGCTGGGTTTGCTGCAACAACAGTAGTGTACTGCGGAAATCTAGTGTTTGGCTTTTCAGTTTTCGCCCAGGTCAGTGCTTCTGTGTGGCTGGCAGGCTGGGTGTAGGGGGTGGACGCTGTCATATATTAGAGAAAACACTGTGGAACCAGAGTCACAGAGATACCTGGGTTCCAAACCCAGGTCAGTTGTTTACTGTGGACTTCTCAGTTCCAGTCTCCTCTTTTGGAAGATGGAGCTAATTATTTTATAAAATGCAGGACACTGGAGAAGACTGTGGTATGAAAAGTGCCTTGCATGTAGGAAGTGCTCAACAAATGCTATTAATATTTTAAGCAGAATTCTGAGACTCTAACCTCTGATGATACCAACCTTTCATTTTCCTTGGTAACTTCTGACTAGTGCAGAACAGGTTTTGTATGTGGTAGGTAGTCAGTAAATGCAATGCATCGTTAGTCTAAAATTCTAAAATCTGGCCTTAAAGTAATACTGTGAACTATTGTAAGTCACATATACATGATCAAAATATCCAGGAAAAACATGGTATATGAAGAAATTTCAATAAGGCTTCCAAACAAACAGGTTGTAGCAGGCATTCTGCCAGGAACACACTGATCCTGGAGGGCCTCAGAAACCAGGAGTTTAGTCCCTTTAGTATAAATCTGTATCCCAGTTTGAATTAAATAGAAAAGGACTCGGTGTATTTTTGAGAACTGACGTGTGTGAACTGCATGAGGAACTAGAAATAGAAATAATGTGTGATGTTGGTCATCCCAGAGGCGCCAGAGAAGCCAGCACGAGGTGTCTGGGCAGACGGGGTCGTTAATCCTGGTACCAAGTGCAAAGGCAGATAAGCGTGGAACAGCACGCCGGGACTGGGAGACACCGGGCGGCTGGGGAAGAGATGCGACTAGAGAAGTTGGCCCTGAACACAATTCAGAAAAAGAAGTGGTCTTTATCTCACAGGCCACATTGTGGGTTTGGCGTGGGGAGAGGCAGGGAGCTTGGAGACTTCGAAGTAAGAAATACCATCAGATTCACACTTCAGGAAAAATCTTTTCTAGGGCAGTGGAGGAGGAGGGAGTGGCGAGGCTGGGTACAGTTGTGGGGTCTGCATTCTCGTGGAGGAGGCCCAGACTAGTGTGGGGTCACAGAAGATCGTAGGACATGATGAGGGAGGGAGGAGGCTGGGGCCTCTGGGGTGGCCTGCATGTTTCTGGCTTAGGACTAAGCGGTGGGTGCAGACGCAGCATTCTGTGTTGGGCATGTTGAATGCAGGACGCTTGCTGAGTATTTAGTGGAAATAAAGGTTCATTCGACACTGGGGCTGGGTAACCGTGAAGCTGCAGCAGTCTGGCCAGGACGGGGGCATGACTGGCATGATTAACGTGGAGGCGGGAGGTGAAGGCCGCAGCTGTCTGCGCTCTCAAGAGCGTCTGTTCTAGAAGTAGGACTCAGATGGAGTCCAGAAGCCTGGAAAGCACCCATTGAAGGACTGAGCAGAAGGGGAGGAGCAGCATGAGGACCACACAGTGGTCCTGGGTAGTGGCAGTGGGTCCTGGTAGTGGGTACTGGGCTCGGTGCCTATTCCATTCATTTTAATGGCACGTTTTTGGCCAAGATGGAAGATGTTTTCATAAATTCCAGTTTGTTGGAGCGAAGCAGTATTATCTTGACATTTTCGGATAACTGAGTACAGGGCGGTTGTATTAGTGCTGTACCACGTCCTCCCTCCTTGATCTTTTCTATGTTTATTTCCACTGTAGGCATAGCATTTTCTTAACTGTATCCTTAAAATGAAATCACACATATAAAAGTCCACTGAATTTCCACAGCTGTGACACAATGATCCTTTTCATTCTTTTCCTTTGAAGATTTGTTTTTCTATTACCTGGATGTCTCTCTCTTCATTCATCTGTCACTTAACGGAACTAGTGGGCCATGCTGTGGAACAGTGACATAAGCTTGAGTGGTCATTCTTGTGGATGGAGACATTACTGGCCACTCCTTCCTTACTGGGTCCTCCTTATGCCCTGAGCTTTCAATTGGGGAAAGTGGGGGGTGACCCAGGTCTTAGGCCTTGGACCTGCTCTCTGTCTGCGTTGACTCTCTGGGTGGTCTTGTTCGGGTTTGTGGCTTTAAGTGTCATCTACACATTGATGAGTTTCTATCTCCAGTTTGGACGTCTCCTCTGAACTCTAGACCCAGTGTACTTACTCCATACTGACAGGCTGCTTCAACATACAACAGGTCCATATCAGACTCCTGCACTCTCTTTCCCATCCTGAACCACTCTTCGTAGAGCCACCCCCACCTCAGTCTTCCATTTGTTTTTAGGCAAGACTCGAAGTCCTCCTTGACTGATCATCCTCTCTCGTACCTCAGGTCTAATACGTAGGCACATCCTGTTGGCTCCGCCCTCTGGCTGCAGTGTGTCCCGCTTGTCAGCACCTCCACTGTCTCACCCTTCCCACCTCTTCCTGCTAGCAGCCTCCCCTCTGGCCTCTCTGCCGCCTCCTCTCTCATCCCACAGTCTGTTCTCAGATGGCAGCCAGGTGTCCATCCTGTCAAAACAGTAAGTTGGACGCTCTTCTGGGAACTCCACAGTGACTTGCTTCCCCAGGAGTCAAAGCCAAAGGCCTGACAGCGGCCACAGGCTCTATGAGATCCGGCTTCTGTTTCTTTTCTGATTTCATTTCCTGCCAGTCTTGTCCCTTGTTCCAGGCACTCTGGTGCCCTCACCCATCCCTCCACATCCCGGGCCCTCTGCCGCCACCTCCGCCTCTGTGCTGGGACGCCCTCCGTCTGCAGTGCCCTGCCCCGGGAGTTCCCATCACTGCCCTTGGGTCTTCACCCAGACGGTGCGCTCTGCGACCATCATATTTAACTTTGCACTTCAACTTTGTGTTCTCTGTCCGTCTGTGCTGCCTTATGTTTCTCCATAGTCCCACTGACAGGTGTTTATGTTGTTGTCAGTCTACTCCCACTAGACTGAAGGTGGGACTTTGTTTCGTTGACGCCTGCATCGTCAGTACCTGGAGGGGTGCTTGGCACGTGGGAGGTAGTCCTAAGTGTTCACAGGGTTACTTTTCTTGGATCATGAGAGAAGCTTCAACTTTGCTCTTCAGGTTTATCTCTAACAAGTATTTGGTGAAACGGCAGAGCAGAGACTACGATGTGGAGTGGGGCTACGCCTTCGATGTGCATCTGAACGCATTTTATCCTCTGCTCGTCATTCTGCATTTTATCCAGCTTTTCTTCATCAACCGTAAGTAGCAAGTTACTTCTCAACCTATTATCAAAAAGTCTCCACTTTGTGCACTGAAGAGAGATTGACTGTCTGCATCTCTTCCACAGATGTTATCCTAACAGACACATTTATTGGATATTTAGTTGGAAATACCTTATGGTTGGTTGCAGTTGGCTATTATATCTATGTAACTTTCCTAGGATACAGTGGTAAGTAATTGATTTTTTTGGTTGACTGACAGCATAACAGGATGGGGAAGTTGTTGTTAACAGTAATAGAGTTAGTTTACTTTTATGGAGCTCTTAACAGGCGCTGCATTCTCTGTTTAATTTTCACAATGAGATGATACAGGTTTATTTCTCTGCATTTTTCAAATGAGGAAACAGGCACTGAGAGATTAAGTAACTTGCCCATGGTCACGTAGCTAGAAAGTGGCACAGCTGGTTTATAACAAGTTTGGTAATTTCAAGGAAGTGTATTAAATCATACTGATGCTCTCCAAGTTAACTGCAGGAACCCACGACAAGCTTCCTCCTCCTTTTCTCCCAAGCTTTTGCTTCTGGGTTACCAGCAGTTGGTTAGAGTGAGGATAGGGTTGGGTCCAATGTATGGGCGTGTTTAAAACCTTTGCCTCATTTTTTATTTTTATGGGGGTTCTTCTGTTCGAAATATTCTTTATTTTGTAAACATCTGTGTTTAAAATAGATGAACCCTGCTCACAATTCATACATATACTGGACCCGAGACACAGTACACAAAGTTTGCCCATCCCAGGGAGATGGGGTGGGGGGGCAGGAGCAGGTGCAGTGCCTGGGGTGCACTGAGTCTCCAGGCAACAGGTGCAGAGCTGGTGAGGAGTCAACAGACAGGAGCACCTGCTGGATAGTCTGGGCCTCAGGCCAGGTCCCAGGCCACCTCCTGGACTGGAGAAGCTTAGGGGTGAGCCCATCTCCTGCTGAGCTCAGGAGAGCTCAAGTAACACTGCTTACTTTAGGAAATCTCAAATAGCTGAAAGTCGGTTTTCCCCGTAACGTCATCCATCTCTGTCGGCACGTTAGATGCGAGGCTTCTGAGGCGGTCCCAGGTTTAAGTTCACCGTGTCCTTTAACGTGGGTGATGTTTGTTCCTCACACGGAACCGTAGTCCTGGGTTTGCTTCTCACTCGGCCTCTGTGCTGAGAAACCTCTTCTCGGTGTCGTCACAGCCGTTAGTTGAGAAGGAAGTAACGCAGGAGAGAGGTACCAGTGGTGCCTTTCTGGCTGCGCGCAGCATCCTCAGTGAGATGAATCCGTGAGGCTCAGCCGACGCGCGCCTCTTCCGCCCCTCGGGCCGCGGTGAGCGCTGTCTTCAGTCGTGCGCTTTTCTGACCAGCGGGTCTGGATTTGCCCCTTTTCCAGCACTGCCGTTTTTGAAAAACACAGTGATCCTTCTCTACCCGTTCGCACCGCTCATCCTGCTCTACGGACTGTCGCTGGCGCTGGGATGGAACTTCACCCGCGCGCTGTGCTCCTTCTACAAGTACAGGGTGCGGTGAGCGGGGGCCGCCTTCCGCGCGGCCCAGCCAGCAGGGCCGGGGAGGGGTGACTGCGTGTGAACCCTGTAAATAGCCTCCCGCTGTAGATACCCTAAAGGTGTAAAGTTTGCAGATCTGAGGAAATGTGTGTGTGAACACTGTTCTCGACTACATTCCTTAAAACTAATTAAGTGTACATTTCTGTAATAAATATTTTTTAAACTAAAGCATGTATTTTACTCATTTTAGTATCTGCACACAGAGTGATATACAGAGTACTAAGGGCATGAGGAAAATAGATAAAATTTTCTAATATGAATTATTTTTGAAAGATGAGCCATTTGGAGAACGTGAGAACCTGATAATCACACGCTGTCCCTCCTCCCCTCCCCCACTGTTACTGACAAGGTACAGAGTCCACCCCCATTTCTAATGTTAAACTTTTACATAAGCCACAGGATCCTAGTCTAATCTTCAAAAGCCTCCTTAACTTGTAACTCAAATAGGAAGAATCACTGTACTGCAAGCCCTAAATACCATTAACAGCATTGTGCAAAACAAAACCCATAAAACTGACAAAATACGTTAGGTTGACGAAGCCCACGGCACACACACAAGATATGAGTGAACTGTGCATCGCACTGATAATCACGGTCTTAACACCAAGGCTTTTGTACTTTCTGTAAAGACTTTCCCCAAAACCACGTATAAAAGCCACTCATGTTTCCTAACTGAAAACAGTTCCAGTAATCTATTATTATATGTGTTAAAATTAACAATAAAAAAACCTTGGTACTCATGCAGTTCTCACCCATCTTTATTAGAAGGAGTCTTGAATTCAACATGGCTTTTTAAACGTCTTTACTTCAAATACACATGGACCGTCGTGGCACAGAGAAACGGTGATGAAAGGCACAGTCAGCGGGACCAGTTATCAGGTTTTCAATTATAGCAGCAAATTTGAAAATAAATAATCTGCCTTTAAAAATCCAACCGGTACCTAAAGTATTACTGCAGGCATTACCCATTCAGCCAATGAAGACGCTGTGAGGAAAGTACAGACAGTACATTTAAGGGGAAGAAGACACCTGGCACAGACTGGCAGAGCAGCTCGTCCGGCAGCTTCTCCACGAGCCACTTCCAGAAACGTCCCCAGTGGCGAAAGCCACCTTTCCAAAGTGTTCTCAAGGGGAAACGCTTCAGTATTTCACTCCATAAATGAAACAGTTGTTAACGTTCAATCAGCTGATTTCTGAACCTTTCTTGGAAAACATGACTGTCCACAGTGAAATGGAAGGTATCAAGTTGGCTGGCAGTGCGTCTTACGGTGCTGTCGACACGGCCATTTTTAAGGCTCAGAGAATATGTCCTCCAAAGGTATTTCCACCCAATTCCAGCAAACACTGAGAGCATTTCAAATAAATAATGGAATGCTGATCGAACGAAAGTTCCAAACCTTTGATTCCAGGGCGGTCGGCTAATTACCGATACATGGACCCCTGGGGGCCAAGTGACCCCTTAAACAGCCTCCCTGGTGTCCAAGAGTATTGAATGTTCCCCACAACAGACAGTCCTTATTTTAGAACAATTTTAGCACCACGGTTCCTAATGTTTTTCCGCACCAAGTGTTCCCCGTTCACCAGTTTACTTTTTTGAATAGCAACTAAATCCTCCACTTCCACGCACTCTAGAGCGCCAGCTCTTCCTGGTTTGTCCCTTTGGAAATGCCCTAGCTAGCGCCCAGACAGGAGGAGTGCGTGTTTCAGGTAAGAAGAGTTTCTGTATAGGTACTGATGGTATGGGTGTGTATGTATGTGTGTATATAACAAATCCTTTGTTTCTTTTTAGTAATACTGTGGAGGTGGTCTTTTCAGCACTGTACGTTCACATGCATTAAAAAAAAATAAAGTAAGCATGTGAGTTATCATGGCATGTATCTGTTAAGATTAATTACTAAAATTTTACAACTATCAAACTAAATGCAGCACACTAAAAACACTGCTGCATAGCTTACAGAAGTTGCCTTTTCTTTAAAGGAAAGAGATCAGATGGCTAAGCTCCTTTAGAATGCTCAGATATTATGACTCAAATTTCCAACCTTTTGAAAATCTTAGTCTCTCATTTTCTTCTAGCTCAACTTTTCTTACCTCAAGCCTATGGCAATACAGTAAAAAGAAACTCAAAAATTAATGGACAAAGCAAAATAAAACTTCATTAGCAATTAATGGCTTGGAAGCAGAGAAGTATTTTGGAATGTATTTTGAAAGCAGAGAAGTATTTGGCTAGCATGTATAGGATTTGATCTGTGTTTAGACAGTAGAATAAATAACTTTGGGTTTTAAAAAAAAACGAAGTTCTTCAATACGGAGTAGATTATCTGATCTCTACATAAAGACAAATTTAATTTAATATTGAAAGTACCATTGTTCATTCTTAAATAATACACTGATAGGCTCATATCAGCCTAAATCAGCATAAAGTGACACCAATTCCAGGAAGAAAGACTCCTGACATGCTGGATGCTACTCCTGCAATCTCATGCTAGCAGCTTCTTTATGAAAAGCTACAAAGATGCTGCAAGTTTTTGCCAACAACCTTCCACTGAGGATTAATTCCGGTCTCTGGCAGAGAATCCCAGATGAGGTGTATGATCTGCTAGTGTATGACTTCATTCGTGTGTTTATCAAGAAATACCCTGCATACCAGAGGGAACCAAGCAGGAAGACTTTTCCTCCTCACCTCTTTGAAATATTGTATTCATTTTCTATTGCTGCATAAAATCACTGCAAATTTAAAAGCTTAAAACAACACCCATTTATTATCTCTCAGCTCTGTAGGCCAGAAGTCCAGACAGGCGGGACTGAGTTCCCTGAAGTCTTGCAAAGCTGGAACCAACATGCCAGCGGGGCTGGGCTTTTCGCGGCTGGAGGAGAGTCTGCAAACTCTTCCAGGTTGTTGGCTGAACTCAGTTCCTGTGGCTGCAGGACTGCAGTTTCCATTCGCTTGGCTGTCAGCTGGGACCTCACAGCTCCTTAAGACCATCTGCATTTCTTCTGGAAATGCTCCCCATCTTAAACTAGCAATGGTGCCTTAAGTCCTTCTGCTTTGAATCTCTGACTTCTGTTAACAGCCTGAGAAAACTCGCTGCTTTTAAAGGGTTCCCATGATTAGATTAGCTGTCCCCAGATAATCTCCCATTTGCTGTGTAACATAACGTTATTGTGGGTCACATTGTCACAGGTTCAACTCACCAAGGGGGAAGGGGGGTCACTGGTAGAATTCTGGCTGCTACAAATATACACTGCTATCAATTAGAGCAGTATCTCCAAACATGCCGTCTCCATACACCTACACTTGTTTTTGAGGACAGCATTGTTGGGAGACAACTTTTTTCATTATTATGACAGATTTTAAAAAAGCCTTCAGAGTGTTGCTCATGTTTTTAAAATAACACCTTCTAATCATTTGCCGATGCAATGACTGATTTGAAAAGCTATACCTTTGCTCAAAGACATCTCCGATGGTCGAATCAGCATACACATCCATGTCCAGAGCCTGCATGCTATGTAATCTATTTGCATTCCCCTTTTCCAAAGTTTGTCAGTCACACCAGCCTTGGAACCCCAACCTCAAGCGGTTGCTCTTTTCTGACTACCTCGCAGGGGACGGGGAATGCCATGAAGAATGCGTGAGACTTATACCAAAGAACTTAGAAACTGGATCTTAACAATCCTAGAAACAGGTCCACAACCTTCTCTTCTCACCCAAAATACTCATCATCATCTGCATTATGATATATTCTGCATGTCTGCTTTTAACTTCATAATCAGAATTCATTATTCTGGTTTCTCAAATGTTCACATTAACACTCTTGACACAGTGTGGTCCAACAGAATCTTCTGTGATGATGGAGACGTCCTGTATCTGTGCTGTCCAGTCCAGTGGGCACTAGCCACGTGGAGCTGGTGTGACTGAGGAGCTGATTGTTTTATTTTATTAACTGACATTGAAGTGGCCACCATGTGTCTAGTGGCTACTGTGTAGGACAGGGCAGCTCCAGAGACATCAGGCCATGTATATATAAAGATAAAATTAGTCCCACCACATGACACTTCTTCCCACTCACTCTTTGGGTAAAAGTGGTTCAGTGTCCACTCAAGGTCAAGTATTTACTTTCATTTCCAGGCCCCCTCATCTCCTGTCCCAGCACGACTCTCCAGGGCAGCCACTATAACTGCTTGCTTGAGGAAAGCGTGGCCACTTCCACGTGCCTCGTGAAAACTGGGGGGAAGGCGAGCACAACTAACACGAGGCCCCGGGAGCACCTGTGCAGCAGAGGACAGACAGGGAGGAGGAGGCACAGGCCTGCCCACAGGAGCTCAACGTTTGGCCAGAGTGAGCACACGTCTGTGCACACACACTCCCCAGGATCAAAAACTAGACAGCTGAGTGTGTGGCAAGGACAGGAGGTAAAGAGGGTTAAGAAAAAGAAAGAGGAGTATGGTTGGAACAGGTAGCCCCTCATCCCGACGCTGCCTGGGCACCTGCCACAGGCCAGGCACTAGTCTAGGCTCGTCTAGGCACTGGGAACAGATTCCCGGGGAGGAAGGAGGCTGCAGGAGAGTCCTTGAAAGATGGATAAGATCTGGCTGAAAGTATTCTCAGGAACAGGAGGGATGAGCTCAGCCTGGAAGGGGAGACTGAGCATGCAAACAGGAAAAAGCTGGCGAGATAAAGCTCAGTCCAAAGACCACGATGCCTAGACCAGTGGCAGGGAGTTGCACTGATGTAACCTAATGAGTAAAGTCACCGCAAGTGTCCCTTCCCTAGAGTCTCAGAGCATGGCCTTTCTTCCTCAGATCAGACCTGGCCACCTGGGGGAGCAGGGAAACAAGGGGATTTCTAAACCCACCTCCTGATTTTTACCTCCTGATATGTAACTGTTAGAGCAGTAATCTATTACGGTAGGCTGGTGCCGAAAATTTTATAATGAAAGGTTATGCATTTCAAGTGAAATCTGCTTGTTAGTCACTGGGCCAAGGAGATTTGAGAAGAAAATAAGATGTAAATTAAAAAATGTTTAAAAAGTAAATTTCAAAATCCCAATATAAATTTTAGCCGGACTTTGCCATAAAAATCATTATTGGCAATATGTAATTTTTTAATCAAGAAAAGTAACTAAGAACTATTCAAATAAGGAGTAATGGAAATACTTGTACCTCATCAGTGTTTCCCAACCTTTTCCGCTGCATAGCACTGCAAAGAAAACAAGGCTGTTTGGAAGCTATCTGTTCAGCCTACTGGGTAACCAGGTGACAACCACCAGGCTACAGGCAACCAGCAGGAACCTCCAGCTGCCCAAGGCCTCGACCACTGGCTCCTCTGAAAGCTCTGGGGATTCAATCTTTGCACACCTGTAACCCACCTGCAACCCACCTGCGGACACCAGACTGGCTGGGAACTGATGTTGGTAATTCGTAATTCTGTAAAAGTAAAATACTTTTGAAAAGAAAAAAATTTGCTAAGGCTGATTATAGTAGTGATATCATTTGGAATTGCACGTTTAAGAGTAATAAGCACTCTTCAGATGTGAATTTACTTATAAGTTCATAATGCAATAGAATAAATTACTTTGCAAAAACATGTAACTATTATAACACCTTTCACCAAAAACCAATATTACAATTTTGTGTCTCTTTAAAATTAAACCAATGACGACTCATACAATAGCATTTCTTAGAAAACATTTCGTCAGAACTCGTAGAATGAGCGCAGATATAAAAGTAGCAACAAAAGAGAAAAATATATCTAATTCATGGATTAAAGACAATGATTAAAACAGAAAGAAGAGTCTGTCATTCTATATATCAATGGAAATGTAATGACTTCAGTCTATGATAATTTGGGTTGAATGCATCACCCTGCACATTAAAATTTATCAGACTGATTTTTTGGTGGCTGTACACCGTACACAGTATAGTAAAATAACCCTCAAGAAGGACATTGGTCTTTAAAATCTTGGCTTTAAGGAATGACAAATGCCTTTGAAAATAGTTTGTTCAGAATCATTGATTATAAAAGTACTTCAGTTAGGAAATCAATCTAGAATCACTCTTAAATGGCAGTGCATTTGAGAAATGGCATTGATTTGTAATGTTTGCATTTTCAAAGAAAAATATAGAAAGAACTTAAAAAAGCAAGGTAACTGGTTTTCAAAAAAAGTATTGGTTCAAAAATTTACTGCACAAAAATATGTACTTCTTAAATGTTTCTAATAAGTTAACTCCATAACATTTTATGTATATTTATAATATTTATATATACATATATAATCCCTGATCATCTATAAAAGAGGGTCTATAATAGTAAAATAAATGAACTTCAAAAGTACCCCCTTCATAAAATGTATTTAACATTAATTTTTCTCAAATTTAAGGAATGTAACAATATGTACAACTCTTATGTATTAGTATAATACCAAAATAGTACAAGTCATATTAACAGGCTGTCATAACTGTACAATGTCTGAGTCAAGTTAAAATTGGAGGACAGCTTAGGTTCGAATGAATACAATTATCCAAGGGAGATTCACTTTCCGAGTGGAAATGACAATCATTTTATCTACAGTAGATTTCACAAGAGGTAGAATTCAAGTTTAAAAAAAAAAAAAGGACATGCTCAGCTGTCTTTAACAAATTCACAGGAAAAGAATGTGTTGGTTTCTTAGGAGATGGTCAGTTTGTGACTTTTTTAATATGAATCTGAAATACAAGAGAGTGAAAAGTGTGATATGACAATTTTCAATTCCAAAGAGGTCTTAATTACGAAATCCAAATGTTGTAAAAAAAAAAAAAGTAGAATTTAAGCTGTTTCACTGATTTAATATCTTATCTTACCTCATTAAGAATGGCCCAAACAGCAGAATTCTGAATAACTGAAAGTCGGAAGGCTGAAATGGGATTTAGGTTGGGATCCACCATTCCTTCTGCAACACCATTCTCAAATTTCCCTTCAAAATAAAAACCAACACTCGCTGAGTAGACTGAAACAAGCACACAGGAAATGTCACTGACTTACACTGAAATTACACTGACTTAAAGACACTGAAATATTTCTGGTGGGTGTTTTTAGACAAAGCATGGGTGAATTTTTTTCCTTCTTTCTACTTTTATTCAACTTTTAAATTTTTCATGAAGTACTGCACGCTTCAAAACATTAGAAGCAACATCTTTAAAAAGGCAGAGGTATGCATTTTCTTACTGCAAATTAAAACAAATACATTTGTTCGTACATCAACCAACAGACAAGTTTTTAGCAAAAGGTGACTTATTAACCTTACACAACATACCCTGTACCATCACTCAGTCTGACCACTTTGAGGGTTAAGTCAACAGTAACAAATTTCAGTGCTTTAACTAGATACACATACAATGGCTGGCCTTGTACTGGGGCTCAGTCTATGTGTATTCTTTCCAAGGTCACATCTAGATCTAGGATTAAGAAGTGATAACCTTCTCGAGGCAGTCCCAATATAAAACACCACAAATGATAAGCTAAAAAAGCTCTCCTGTAAGGACAAGGAGCAAGAACTTCTGTAAAAGATAACATGTTCTGTACTCAGTTTCTCTTGCTGTGATGAAACAGCAAGAGAACAAAACAAAAATGCTGTTGAAAAAGTGACAGGAAAATGCTTTGCTCTCAGCCACATTTCTCTAAGCCAGGGATTGGCAAACTTTTCCTAAAAAGGGCAGATAGTAAATAGTTTGGGTTTTGTGGGTCAAGAGGGCACTTGAGGATATCACGCAGGTACCTGTACACAGAAAAAGAAAAAAGCGAGCTGAATGGAGGTTAGGTGGAGGAAGGGAGCCTCAGATCTTGAAGCTGCTGGGACAGAGCTTCTGCAACGGGGAGCTTGCGGGGGGTGGGGGGGTGGCAGATGCTGGCGGCCTGCCCTTCGGGGTGAGATACCACAGCCCTGGGGTGGCAGTGGGGGCTGCAGGAGAGGCAGGCAGTGTTCTTGGCTGGACCTGCAGAGCAGGACTTCCCTCTCTCTGAGCTCGGCCGGTGTGGGTGACGGAGCGGGCCAGGGCTCCAATGACACAGACTCTTCATGCTCTTACTGAGATTCAGACTTTAAGAGTAAATGTTTCTCCCTTTGCTGTATTAAAAAAGAAATAATAATAACTTTCACCAGCGATGTTTGTTTTCACCAGGGAGAAGGTCCGTGAAGCCCCTCACACACCACTGCACTAAAGCATACTTCTTAAGGAGGCGGAATTTTTTATATTCAGTTGAAAAAAATCAGTTGCTTTTGATTCTGATGCACACTTCCGTTACATCAGGTCTCAGTGCCAATCATCCATCAGTTCTCTACTGGTTCTAAATGTGTATGAGTTGATGTTTTAGGTGGTCATTATCTTCAAATTACTGCTGAGATATTTAATCATATAAATGTCTCTATTTCCCATGCTACTTTCATAACCTAGAATGCAACATTCTCAGAAATTAAGTAACTAACAGGTAATAGAGTTAACAAATGTCTTGTATACTTGGGTAATTTTATGTACATTTTTAGAGTGGGCTGAGATATAACCTGAATATGAAAATAATTAAACTCATCTATACACTAAAACTGCACAGAAATTAGTCAGGGTTACTGCACAAGCCTTGCAGCAAAACCTGAATGACACTCACCAAATACGAGTTACAGCGACAGTTATAAGAATGTCTCTGTCCTGTACACCTACAATATTAATGCACCGAGAGTCTCTTTTGCCTACCACTAAGAAAACTGTCAGTTTGTTTTATGTGAAAGGAAATATATAATCATTCACTGCACTGATGCCTATCAAGTGACAATCCCTATGTTTACTGCAGGAGATGCCTGAGCTCAGCCCGCCCCCTTTCCAAGGTGAGCACACGGACCCGAGCTATGAAACAACGCAGTTACACAGCAGAGGTGCACACAGAGTGCTAAGGAGAACAGAGGAGGCAACTAAGCCGGTTAATAAAAGATGAGAGAGTGTTCTTCAGGAGAAGTATCAATTCATCGTTTCAGGCGGGGAAAACGGCCAGACACGCAGCTGCACAGAAAGACATGGGGACTTAAAGGAAGATGCCTTGGGACTGGAGAAATACAGGATAAGAGGAAGTAATGAGATGGTAAGGAGTCTGATCATGGGAGGTCACTGAGGGTTCCACCCGGGTCGTGGAGGCACCAGCTCTGCGGGTGGGCTAGGGAACAGGCAGAGTGTCTGTAGCACCGTTGCACTAGGGTGACTGCACATTCAGACACAAATGGACATATTTTATGCTAATGGACAGCCAAGCGGGCACGGGGGGTTCACGGTGTCTCCCAAGGTTAGAGTTAGGCAGCTAGATGGAGAGTGACAGCGAAAACCATGCTGATCAATAAATGTCTGTGTTACAGACGCTTAGGGCGGATGGCGACAGCCTCCAGGGGGCCATGGCCGTGGGCATCTCCGAACAGGTCTTGGGAGGGAGGCTCGTGATGCTGCAGACACCATGAGAGTGGCTTACTAAGGACATCCACCGAGGGGCTGCAGGAGGCAGAGCAAGGCAGGTCATCTACCAGGGACAACAGTGGAACAGCAGGTGGAGAGAGAAAGAGGAACCAGTGAATGAACCTTTGATCTGAAATCCTAGTTGGGTCAGGATAATAAAAGTATGTAAAACACAGGAACAAATAAAAGATTACACTGGTATTTATAATACTAAGGCTTTTCCACGTCTGAAAAGAACTGAACATTACTTTAGGACTAAGTCCAGAAAAGTAAAGGACATTTTACTAGTTTAAAGGAGGTATTACCTATTCTGAAATAACCATCTTCTAATCGTTTGTCTTTGGTTTCTTTGCTTATTTCCAAACCTTCACTCTAAAATAGAAGAAAAACATTTTATAAATAATGACTTCTATTTAAAACAAACCTAAGTTATGAATATATCTTAATAAATATAAAAGTGACATCTGTGGCACAGCTATCTCTGTAACGAGAACATGCCATCCCAGTCCTGAATCTTCAAACGTTCATCAATATATAAAGTGCTCCCTTTTTAAACAATCATCTGAATCTGTATAGAATATATTGGTGATTCGAAATTTTACATTTTAATTAATTTCCAACTTAAAGCAATTTAATACAATACTGTTTTCTATGAAGACCATACAGAAATAAAGAACTATGTGTTAACTTGAAAGAAATCTAAGCATTCCTTAGAGGCTGATAAATTAACTTTGTGTATCATTTAACAGGCATGAAAACTACATGGTATTTTGGGACTCAAAATATAAACAACAGGTCATATGACCCAGGAATCCCACTCCTGGGCATATATCCAGAAGGAACCCTACTTCAAAATGACACCTGCACCCCAATGTTCATAGCAGCACTATTTACAATAGCCAAGACAGGAAACAGCCTAAATGTCCATCAGCAGATGAGTGAATAAAGAAGATGTGGTATATTTATACAATGGAATACTATTCAGCCATAAAAACTGACAACACAACGCCATTTGCAGCAACATAGATGTTCCTGGAGAATGTCATTCTAAGTGAAGTAAGCCAGAAGGAGAAAGAAAAATACCATATGAGATCGCTCATATGTGGAATCTAAAAACAAAAACAAAAACAAAATAAAACATAAATTTAAAACAGAAACAGACTCATAGACATAGAATACAAACTTGTGGTTGCCAAGGGGGCGGGAGGTGGGAAGGGGCAGACTGGGATTTCAAAATGTAGAATAGATAAACAAGATTATACTGTATAGCACAGGGAAATATATACAAGATCTTGTGGTAAAAAATGTGACAGCGAAAAAAGAATGTGACAATGAATATATGTATGTTCATGTATAACTGAAAAACTGTGCTCTACACTGGAATTTGACACAACATTGTAAAATGACTATAACTCAATAAAAAAAAGTTAAAAAAATACAAACAACAGGCAAATACTGAAATAATGATTCATTTATTTTCCCAGAACAAACTTCCAAGTTATTTTCCAACAGGAAACAAAATGAAGGCTCTTTCTATGAATAAGGCAAAGGAGACAATATATTAGGTGTCCCACATTTCCTAAAACAGTTAATATTACTCACCACCCAGGTCCTGCAGTCATGAGAACTTTCCTTCATAAACAAGAATAGCCTCACATCAGGTCTATTAATACTGGTTCTTAAGGAAAATTAAGAGGAAAAAATAGTCGTACCTTAAAAGGCAAAACTTCTACAGTTGTGTTGAGCAGAATATCTCCTGGATGTTCCTGGTTGCCACTATGGAACAAATAACTGAAAATACAAACACAGAAATAAAATATGAGTCAGACTATAGTTGACAAAGATTCAAGAAGGAGGCCCTACCTCAGAGTAGTGTGGACAACACTAGAGCCTGCGGTGACTGATGACATTTTTAAGTGTGGCAGACAATACCTCACGGTGCAGAGTATCACTATGTAGGATGCAAATGAACATTATAAATAACAAAACCAATATTATATTGTCATATAAGTGCAAAATACTACTCTGAAATATTTTAGTATGTTCCCCCAGTGATCCTTCCATTGCTTAAAAGAATCACACTTAAATTCCTCTTCAGAATCACGTCAGCATAACAGAAGAAAATTAACAGCATCACATTTAGCTATGCATTGTTTTTGACCACCTTAAATAGAATTATTCCAAGTGATTTTGGGCAGATTCTAAAGACCAAATGGCTTTCATCAAAACATATAACATCATATGCTGCAGGCTAGGGAACTCTATTCTGTTCTGGGGATTACATTTAAGCATGCCACAGACAGTCGGGGGAACACATCCATGACTGAGCAAAGATTGAAGGAATCATGATGGTTAAGCAAAAAACGGGGAGAAAAAGTCCCAAGGTTTGTTAAGTGAACATACATGCTGAAAAAACCTATAGGGGTTGTGAATTCCTCCATATTGTACTAAAAGTAATCCAGCACCTACAAACCCACTGACCAGAAATAGTGATAGTCTGTCCAATTTATCATTTCAACCAAATTGCTGGGTCACCAACTAGCTCTCAGTCAAATTTTAAGGGATAGCCTAGCATAAGGATATGAAAACTGACTTCAGATTTCGAGGGAGAGTTCTACATAAAAGTATTAAAAATACTAACAGAATTTATCAAACATGCTGAATGCTGATACTATATCTGAAAGCAACACACCTCTTTAATTACTGAGTTGTAGGAGATGTATACTATAATCTCACATCTGAGGCTGTCTCCTCACATCCGTTAACCGTACCAAAAAAATTCCACCATAAATCACGTTGTAAGAGGTCTGCATTGTAAGAGCAAATATATTTCAGTCATGACCAACCTTTCCACATTGACTGGCTTGTCAAATTTAAACAGGATGTAGTCTCCAGCTACCGGGGTTACAGCCCAGAAGAAATCCTCTCCCATGTAAGTTTTCTCCAGCGTATGTCCTTGGTAGACCTTCAAGGAAGTCGATACTTCTGCAGGTGGGTTTACATGGATTTTAAGAAGCAAAGGTTTCATGTAATCTTTATCCTAGGAGGAAAGACATATTAACAACATGTGGCTTATTTATACTTAGGAAGAAGAACAGTGAGTGTACACTAAATAAAAAGTTGCATGTATGTGCATGAAAAAAATAAAACTAAACCACAAACCGTGAGTTTCTGAATTTTTCCTGTTAGTGAAGAATGCAGACCAACATGCTGGAAAAGGGAAGGTCTGAAGCGAATTCTCAGATTTGCTTTCTGTCTGTCACAATGTTTCTAAATATTGGAAAAAAAAAAGTGTTACTTTGTAAAGTGAAATCTTGTCCTCATCTGAAAAATGAAAAGTCCTTTATAAGAATAAATATTGAAAAGAAAATCCAATTTCATCTCATAATTCCAAGTCGCATGCTTTTTTAGGGTCTTCTTTGAGGCCTTAATAGATTTGCTACCTACTTGATACACAGACAGGATGCGGGAACTAAAAATAAGCACATCTAAGGGAGGGGCTGAGGATTTAACTTCAACCACCTTTCAAAATACGTCAATACAGATTTGCCTTTTGATATTAAAGTGCACAAGCTATAAACTAGAGGTTGGTTCCAATACACAGAATAGCTTTAACTGGATAATATAATGAAGAATCTGCAGATAAGAAAAGGCGCATTTTGTTGCAGGAAAGCAATGTGAAAATGTGAGGCAGTAAGCTGACCACTACAAGCCAGTGAACAACATCAAGGCAGACAAATCCATCCCAGCACAGGCGAGGGACACCTAAGTTTCAGCTCTGAGTGCCCAGTGGCCCAGACATCAGGTCACAGCAGGGGGAACCCACAGTGCTGGCGGGGGGCCCAGTGCGCATTAATTAGCTCAGTGCTTCAGGACACCCAAGGCCACCTGGTCACACTCTTACAAACTCTTTCCATTTTCAATGACTTTTTATAAGATTGGGGCCAAGAACATACTGAAAAAGACAAATTTATAAGACATTTCCACCTTGAGAGACCTCCAATAATTTCCTGGCTGTTAAAATGCCTAATTTTTCTCAAGAGATTTTACTTCATTAGCATTATTGCTAATGCTAGGGTAGAGGTGAAGCAGTAAATGTTATTTACACAAACAGAACTGCTCATGTGGAAGCAGAGGGAAGGGGAGGGAGGGAGGGAGAGTGCGGAGACGGTGGGGCTGGGGGAAGCAGCAGGGCCTGAGACCAAGTCCACCACGCAGGCAGTGGGCGATGCATTTGGACCTGAAGAGTCAAAGCAGGTCCACAAACCTTTGAAAGAATAAATGAATGTCTTTTTTTTAAATGTGACATTGGTTTGTAACATTATGTAAGTTTCATATACACAACATTCTATTTCTACTTCTGTATACACTAGAGTGTTCTCACCACCAAACATTTAGTTTCCATTCATCTCCATACAGTTGACCCCCCCCTTCACCCATTTCACCACCCCCACCTCGGCCCCTTCCCCTCTGGTCACTACCACTCTGTTCTATATCTACATGTTCGTTTTTGTTTGTTACTGTTGGTGGGAATGTAAACTGGTGCAGCCACTATGGAAAACGGTATGGAGATTCCACAAAAAACTAACAACAGAAGTACCATGTGACCCAGCTATCCCACTTTTGGGTATGTATCCAAAGAACACAGAAACACTAATTAGAAAAGGTACATGCACCCTTCTGTTCACCACATTACTTACAGCAGCCAAGATATGGAGACAATCTAAGTGTCCATCAACAGGTGACTGGATAAAGAGGTGGTGTGTATACAGACATACAATGGAACACTACTCAGACATATAAAAGATGAAATCTTTCCATTTGCAACAACACGGATGGATCTAGAGGGTATTATGCTAAGTGAACTAAGTGTGAATGCTTGGAAAGGCTTCATGGACCACTGTCTAAGGGATGTTATTCTGGAGGCCAGCAAGTATGCGGTGACATCCCAGCGGAAGCAACTGAAGGACTACAGGCCATAGAAAGAAGAGTGGAAGAATGGGTTTTCGTGATTTTATTTTTCACTCTCAGAGACTTCCACCTCACAAACTCATTATAGAATGTAACTGTAAGACTGCACAGGACCAATTAAATGAGAGTATGCTGTGCGAGTGTAAAGACGACTTCATTGTTCTGTGTCCTACAATAAAATTTCCTGTAAATCAGGAATAAGACACAGGTAAGGGCTTCCATCATAAAAATGAGTTGATTGAATCAATTTACATGTTCAGCCATTGTTGGAAAGTAGTTGTTCTGCCTTTTAACTATATTCCATGATTTGCTCTAAGAAAGTGGTTATTTTAATAAAGAGAGAGAGAGAAAATACAATAATAATTTATGACACCAGAAGATAGCGTCCTAAAAACTATTTGGCAGGTAGGGTGATCAAACTATCCTATATCGAACTATAAGGTCATGAAGTCAAATTAAATGTTCATTTGTGAGAATGAATGTGAAGTTAACCCTATAATGGCACACTTGCAATAGAGATTTCCTTGTTATTACATGTCAAAATGGACTTATTCACTTTAAAGAATGTGTACATTCATATTTTATTTATGCTTACCCCCAATAAATAAAAAATATTTTTTCCCAAAGGTACAATTCAAATTGGACAAGGAAAACATACTAGTTACTTTTTACAATAAGATTTCTATGGAGATAACCTAATATTTGAATAGTCAGAACAAAAATAATCATTTACTTACTTACCTGACACCAACACCCCAAAGCCAGCATCTTAGTAGGAACACTGGTTTCATGCAAGTAATACAATACAAAAAAAGGTACTTTTTTGACTTGCCATTGTTTTAGTATAAAATATTACTTCCATTTTATTTCTTATATCCAGGTGAGCTGGGCTCTGATATTGCCCCCAAAGTATTTGGGGGAAAAAGAAAGCTCATAG